GGGTTTCCTTTAAAGCTGAGATGTAATCATGTTGTTTCCTGTAACATAGTTTCTTCTTTTTGAATGCTGCATAGTATTTCATTGTATAAATATACAAGTTATGTATCCATTTTACTATTAATAGACATTTGGATTCTTTCCAGTTTGGGATTTTTTCTATTAATAGACATTTGGATTTTTTCCAGTGTTGGAAACAGTAGCTCTGAACATTCTGGTACTGTGTCTTTTGGTGTACATACATTTGCATTTCTGTTGCATATATAACAATGTGGAATTGTAGGTATAGCTACCGACAGTTTTCCACAGTGATTGTACTAGTTATTCTCTAGTAGCATTGTATGTGAGAATTTGAAAACCCATACATCTTTTTAACTTTATTGTTGAAAGTATTACAGATGTCCCCCCCTTTTTTTCTCATTGACCCCTTCTAGCCTGTACCCCCCACCCCATACCCACCCCAGACCTTCACCACACTACTGTCTGTGTCCATGGGTTATGAAACGCCTACATTTTGATTAACAACTGTTTCTATGAAACTTAAGCTGTCAACTCAGAGTATTATGTTTAGTTTACTCTGTATTCGAGTAAATAAATCACTCTAATGCCTCAACTTCTGTTTTTAGACATGGCTCGTGGACAGCAGAAGATTCAGTCTCAGCAGAAAAATGCCAAAAAGCATTCCGGACAAAAGAAGAAACAAGGACATGACCAAAAGGCTGCTGCCAAAGCTGCCTTAATATATACCTGCACTGTCTGTAGGGTAAGGGAATTGAAAGACATAGCTTTCCCCTGCACAGTTTTTCATTAGAGATTGGTTGGTATAGGTTAAAATTTTGCAATCATGGCAAAATAAATGCTTTACTGAAATAGTAGGTTTAAGAGCTGGTTATTTTAGTATCCCATCTTTCATTCAACAAATATTTTATTGAATGGCTCTTGTGGCCAGGCTGTTTTCCAGGTGTTGGGGAAAGGAGTGAACAAAGCTAAGTTCCTTTCCTCAAGGAGACTGAAGATGCCTTCTTAAGGGAAAACAATACACTTGAACTTTGTAAAGAAGTCAGATCCACATTCTTAATTTAGACCTCAGTAAAACTATGTAATACCAGTGAATAACACTCTTGTTAAATGGTGGGCTTTTTTTCCTTTCCATAGTTAGGATGGCTATAAAACTAGAGTTTGTTCATATTGAGAGCTTTTACTAGAATTAATGTGTTTATTAGATTTGAAAAATAATTATAGCAGCTGCTATTGCAGGGGTGGGCAAACTTTGTGACTTGAGGACCACCATGGGTTCTTAAACTGGACCGGAGGGCCGGAACAAAAGCATGGATGTAGTGTTTGTGTGAACTAACATAAATTCAAAGTAAACATCATTACATAAAAGGGTACAGTCTTTTTTTTTTTTTAGTTTTATTCATTTCAGCTGCAGTTTGCCCACGGCTGTGCTATTGAGTGCTTTCAGGTGCCAGCCACTGATCCAGGTGTTGTATATGTATGAGCCCACTAATCCACACAACAACCCAATGAGATAAAGTACTTTTATTATATTCATTTTACAGAAGAATAAATTGTCATGGGGATTATATCATTTGCACAGGGTCACCCAATTAATGCATAAAAAGAACTTGGATCTTGCCTAGGGAAGTCAGTATCGTGTAATGTTTGAGAGCTACAGTACCTAGTACTAGGCTAAAGTACTTGGGCAAATTAAGCTCTAGGGTTTAATTTCCTTAGTAAAATGAGGATAGTAGGAACTAATTTAAGATTACTATGAAGGTTCAGTGAGAATTCAGGTAACATGCTTAACATAATAATAGTTCAGTATAAGCCACCTGTTTGCTGTTAGCTAAGCAGTATTCTTCATTCTCTGTGACCACCCCTATGTGAAATGTGGGAATATGTTAGGAATTTCTCTATTACATGGTCTTTTTTTATATGACAGCAATTATCTATTATAAGCAGGCTCAGGATTTTTAAAATGTTTACACATTTATGAATAAGCTCTAACTCCTTTTTTGTACAATTTTTGTAATTAGACACAAATGCCAGACCCTAAGACCTTCAAGCAGCACTTTGAGAGCAAGCATCCTAAGACTCCACTTCCTCCAGAATTGGCTGATGTCCAGGCATAAAGTTGTTTACAGGTAATTGACTTTTATTGTTGTTGTTACTGTCAGGCTTGTATACAAGAACAAAATTGTTTTCTGTAACTATGAAGTTGATTTTTACCTTCTAGCTGACTTTATTGCTTCCTATTTTTCAGTTAATGTTTAACTTTACAATTATTAAAAGTCCATTTTCCCAGACCATATCCTGATGAAATAGAAGTTCCTAACTACATAAAAGTTCTATTTTCTACTGGGGGATGGAGGGAGGCTGACCAACTCTGGTCCAAGAATGGAAAAGACATGTAAGCGTAAATAACTATTACAAAGGTATTGAGGGTCTTGCTCAGAGAAATGATGCAGACCAACGTTCCCGAGTGCCTTTTGCAGGTATCTTCCGATGACAGTGCTTAGCAGAACTTCCAGGTGTGTTAAAATATAGGGCAAAATGTAGGTACATTGTATAATCTTGGTAGTTGTTTGAAAATAATCAAGTTATATTTTCTGTATGTTAGAGTTTTTTTCTCATAAATGGTTGTGATGATGTTGGTGTGAGAATTTTTTTTTTAAGTAAATCAAAGTTCAGTTTATAAAATCCCATTGGCAGATCTATCAGACTAACTTGGTAGCTTAGGCAAGTGTTTGTTTTCCTTAAGCATTTGAAATGTATATAAGTTGCATTGTGCAATGTTTACCTTCACAGAAAATTTTGCTTATGTTTTATAGGTGAATTCATGACACCTTTGACTCTTCTACTGTCTCAGACCTTAGGTAACAAACCTGCAGCTGCTTTTCTAACAAACTGTTGATCAGCAAAAATAAAGGGGCTACAGAAACACTCATTTTTATGCTGTTCCCTTTTGGGCTTCATGCAAAGACAATTCTGTGTAAATGTACAGTTGACTCTAATTTGGAACTCTGAAAATCAGTCCATCCTTGTTATAAAAAATTTTTTACAATTGTAATTATATTGATGTTCATATTGTGTAAAATAACTCATTTAATAAAGTAGTACTTTGATTTTACAACATCACAGGATAAATGGTTCTAGAAATTCTGTTCTAACTTTCCACATTATTTGCCTTATAAAAATCTAATGAATTCATCAACTAGAATTGTAAGCGCAATTCTTATCTCTCTCTCAGCTCAGTGGCAGGTTCGTTAAATTAGAGCAGACTCATTCATTAAATTTGTGAACACAGTTTTATTGGCAGCCGCTGATCTAGAAGAATGACTTACCTGCTGCCTTAGTATATTGCAGTCGTGTCATTTTCCCCTCTGATTGTTTCCTATTTTGAGGTTGGAATATTTCAACTTGCTGTATGACTTGGCTATAGCTGCCAGCCAGGTATACCCTGTAGATACGTGATAAATTCCTAAAGTGGTTAGATCGTTAGTAAGCCCTTCTGAAAAACTAGGTTTTGAAGTCTGTGTCCTAATGAAATAATCAGTAAGCCTAATCATTTATTACAAAATATGATGGAACATGTGTGAACTGGTAAAGATTTATCTTTTATAAATTATGTTGGATTCTTTGAAAAGGCTTCAAATTCTTTCATTTGAAATTGAAACGCATAATTTTGGAGGAGTTTTTGGAAGTTAATGATTTGACCAATTCTAGAATGAATTTTGCATTAACAGTAAGATTGGAATAACTTGTGGCTGCGTTAATTCCCAGAACCTTCTCCCTCCTTTCCTTTTTGAGTCATTGATTTTAGGAGTTTACTTTGTGCTGCTTCCTAAAATCAAAGACTGTGTACAGTATGACTTCCGTCTGAACTAGAAAGTATTAAAATAGGCCAGTATCTAGATTGATTTGGTTCCAGGGATGGGGAAATGGGTTGGTTCAGATGGATGAGGTAAATCCTACCCAGTTAAGGGAGACTAATTTTAGGGTTCTTCTAATTTGCTTTTGTCAGCTATTAACTTTATGAGTGAAACTGCTGTAACTCAGTTGAAATTTTAAAGTTAATATAATAGGAAGAACACTCAAATATTTCCTGGTAATTGTTTAGAGCCACAAATCTGATCCTGTGGATTAAAAAATGCATTCCCTCCTTGTGCTGCAACTCATCGCTGCATTTGTTTTGTAGCTGTGCATATTCTGCCCACCTTGTTTGTCTTCACTGTAAGTTTAAAATAAGATATTTTTAAGGAAAATCGTCAGTGGTGATAGTTTCTTAGCAATTCCTATTCTTATACTATTACTTTAATGATTTTTTTCATGTATTTAATTTCCTGAGTTTCAGATTTAATGTTACTTCCCTATATGTTGATTACCAGAACATTAGAGTTTGCCTAATTGCTTGTGGTGGGTATTATAGAAGTTATGGTTAAATTACAATTTAAAAGTTTTTTAAAGTGCTTTGAACATATGTATCTTTATGTTTAGCAACAAATCACTTAAAAACCGCTTACAAGTTTTTGTTTAATTTTTTTTCATTTGTTTGACTGACTCTAATTCAGAATAAAAGCTTTTTGTTCTTGTATTTAACTCTTTTTTATAAGCAGCTGAAGACATCATATTTAAGTATATTTCAGTGATGGGAATAGCTGCATTCTCATCCTCTATGTGAGGAGTATTAGTACAATCCCCTCTTTATTGTGTTTGAGCTAAATCTGCTATAAAGTAGAAATTAAAATTCTTAACTATCCTTGTTATTCAATTTGAAGATTCTTTAACAGATCCCAACAAAGTTTATTATAAAACTGTTATGGTGTCTTCAAAGACTTGATAAAATACACTGAGAGAATTGGTCCATTGTATTCTGTATTTCCATTAGTTGCCAAAAGGAATGGGGTTAAGATTAAACTTGTTTCCATTCTCCTTCGTATGGATCTATATCCCCTGTTTAACTGACACACTGGGGGCTCAGTTGTGTGCTGTAATGTCTTATTAAAGGAGATATTAAAGAAAACTAAACTAGTCTAATTTCTTCTACATTGTAGGGGTTTTTATATTGCCTCTTCTCTCTCTCTTTTAATTTTTCAATTTAAAATTTATCTCTTGAGTTTAGAGCTCCGTACTAAGGGTGACAAGAGATTTCTTTCATTTCTCTTTTTTTTTTTTTTTCCTGTAGTCTATTTTGGATCTATAGACTATTCTTAAAAATGAAAGGAAGAAGGATGTCGTTCTGAAACCTCAACTCTATAGAATAAGTTGTTAGAAGAAGGAAGTAGTTGACTGTTAATATAAAAATAATACTAAAAAATGCTTAGGTCAGTTAATTGAATTGGATGGATAAGTCCTTTATGACATTGACTCAGACTTGAGATAGCACTTCTGGTTTTATATTTAAAATACTGTATAGCTAATTACTTACATTATAATTGAGTTCTGAAATGTATGTCACATGGATAAGATAGAATTCACCAACATTATCATTTAAACTTACTGAATCTGAATTCATTTGTGCTAGATTTTCATTTTTGTAGGGGTTTAGGGTTTGGTTTGGTTTTGGTCAGAGATACATAATTTTTGGAATGTATAACAATGAAGATCAACATTAGGGGGTTGTGTTTACTGTGACTACATTCTGAAATCTTCCAGACTAGTCTAATATTTTCTGTTGTAAAAGTTTCAGAAAAAATCTTAGGCATTTCTAATGTGTAGATTTAATAAAACATCTGTCAACTTGACAGAAAAAATAGATGTTTTATTAATAAAAGTTTATCCTGTCATTAATTGTATATTACCTTATTAAGCTGAAAATTAAATGTCTTCTATTTTAAATGTTCTTTGGATAAACTGTTTATTGAATATACCATCTTTGGGGGAGAGGTTTTGTTTTTGACCAGCCATTCTTTAGCTCTAATTTTTGTACTCAATATGGCTTCATATTTTAAAATCTGCACATGTAGAAAGACTTAAATCATTTATTTATGTCCATATGGGCATATCTATACTGTGAAGTAATTATGTTAAAATTGGTATTTTTAATCATTTTTTATGTATACAACATCTTTTTCTATACATATTAATAATAGCGTAGGTTTTTATAGGCCACATAGGTACCTCACTTTATCACTGTTTACTGTCTTATAAAATTGAGAATGTAGCCTGTATTTTGGATTCTTATTAAAATTTTAATTACTAGGAAGTAAGCCATTATAATATTCTCTATAACAGTGTAATAGTATGTCTCAAAATGAGTTCTTATAGCTAGGGTGACCATACATTCTGGTTTGCCAAAGACAGTCTTGGTTTAAGTATTTCATATTAAACATCAAATTAATATTGGATAGTAAGGTAGCTCATTATAGGTTAACATTACCTCCTTTTACTCACACGTGTGAGTTGATGTCATGCAACTGCTTTTTTAAAATGTAGCTTTAAAAAAACTCATACTCAGAAATTCTTACTCATTAAATGGGAACATGTGATAACTAGCAAGGTTTGTCTTTTAAAGTCCTTGAATCTATTTTTATTTGTTATTTTAAAACTCCTAATGGAGACTTAAATATCTGGTAAAATGAACTAGATTCCCAAAACTTTGAAATGCCTTTAATTCGCAGGCATTTAACATATAAACATATTGTTTGTACCAAGTTCATACTTTTGTTTTCTATCATCTTTACACCCAAAGGACTTAGGGAAGATGGCCAGTTGGTATTAGAGGTACTGCTACCTGTTACTATAGAACACTTATTTTTTTTAAAAAATATATTTTATTGATTTTTTCCAGAGAGGAAGGGAGAGAGATAGAGAGTTAGAAACATCGATGAGAGAGAGACTCGATCAGCCGCCTCCTGCACATCCCCCACTGGGGATGTGCCCGCAACCCAGGTACATGCCCTTGACCGGAATCGAACCTGGGACCTTTCAGTCCGCAGGCCGACGCTCTATCCACTGAGCCAAACCGGTTTCGGCTATAGAACACTTATTGAGGAAGGAAGGGAAATTAGCATTGGCTGCAAGTTAGATGTCTGCTGGGCTAATAGTATTGAAAACTTACAGCAAATCTTTTGATTTTGATACAGGGTGCTTCTACATATTGATCTGGATCTCTGAAATTTTCTTTTTTATAATTCTTAATTTTGGAATACTTTTAGACCTACAGAGAAGTTGTGATAGTAGTCTAAGAGAGTTCTTGTGTTCCCTCACTTAATTTCAGTTTACCCCTATGTTCTTTTTTAAAAAACATATTTTTATTGATTTCAGAGAGGAAGGGAGAGAGTGATAGAAACATCAATGATGAGAGACAATCATTGATTGGCTGCCTCCGACACGCCTCACACTGGGGATCAAGCCTGCAACCTGGGCATGTGCCCTGACTGGGAATCGAACCGTAACCTCCGTTCAGGGGTCGTCACTCAACCACTGAAGCACTGACCCACACTGGCTGGGCTTAATGTTCTTTTTTTTTTTTAATGTTTGTTTTTTTTCTTTCTTTTTTTTTTAAATTAAATCTTTATTGTTCAGATTATTACATTTGTTCCTCTTTTTTCCCCTCATAACTCCCCTCCTCCCAGTTCCCGCCCCACCCTCCGCCCTCACTCCCCACCCACTGTCCTCATCCATAGATGTACGATTTTTGTCCAGTCTCTTGCTGCATCTCCCACACCCCTTTCCCCCCCCAAGAATAGTCAGTCCATTCCCTTTCTGTGTCCCTGATTCTATTACAATCACCAGTTCATACTGTTCATCAGATTATTTATTCACTTGATTCTTAGATTCACTTGTTGATAGATGCGTATTTGTTGTTCATAATTTGTATCTTTACCTTTTTCTTCCTCTTCCTCTTCTTAAAGGATACCTTTCAGCATTTCATATAATCCTGTTTTGGTGGTGATGAAA